CGCTGCGAGGGCTCGCGAGGGCGCCGGGGCCGCGTCTTGGCCGCGCAGCTGGGCCTGCAGCAGTGCGAAGGCAGTGAGCTGCGCCGCACGCCGGATGGGCCGCGACTCGGATAGACGCTCCACCAACTGCGGACTGTGCAGCAATGCGGCCAGTAGCCGCCGCAGAACCATCCTTGAAGCGACCCGGAACCCGTAGCACGCAGCTCTCGCTTCTGATCGGCGACTCCCGACTACGGACCACGTTTGCGCCGGCGCCGCCCGGTGACGACACAGCCGCGCTGGGATTGGCCCGAGAGATAGCCACTTTCAGCAGCTGCCTCCGCGTTTCCGGTTCCGGCAGCGCCTGGGTGGCCTCGTTATTCTTAAGAGTGGAGGCATCCTCGGCCACCTCTCTGCGGTATGTCGGGTGGCCTCCTGAAGGCGCTGCGTAGCGACTCCTACGTCGAGCTGAGCCAGTACCGGGACCAGCACTTCCGGGTGAGAAAAGCAGGGCCACGAGAAGGAGAGGTCCCTGGCCAGAACGCCAAGAATCGGTTTGCTCTTGTCTCATTGTGTCGTCTTCCATTGTCTGGTTTCCCGAAACTCTTAGGGAGGCCTCGGCGCCTGCAGAGGAATGGATGCTGAAAGGGCGTTTGGATATCACTGTGTCCCCTCTCTGCCCTCTACTAAAAGGAGTCTGGTCCTTTTATAAGTTCTTCATAGAATCTGAACACCTCTCTTGGCAAGGGGTTTGTGGTGGATTGGGATGATTAGAGAAACTAATTCTTTGGTCAGAATTAATGAAAGTTTTTCCCATACTTAGGGATTCTATTTAAGCACAGCTTTTAAGATTGTGTTGCTTAGATTTTTTTCTCTATTTAAAACTCTAGGGTGACAATGAAGAACAGGAAAAATTACTAAAGAAAAGCTGTACATTGTATGTTGGAAATCTTTCCTTTTATACAACTGAAGAACAAATCTATGAACTCTTCAGCAAAAGTGGTGACATAAAGAAAATCATTATGGGCCTGGATAAGATGAAGAAAACAGCATGTGGGTTCTGCTTTGTGGAGTATCCTTGTCTGATGCAGCTGTTGGCGAAGGGTGGGGCTGAGAGTGGCTGGTTACCTGTTTTGAAAAATGACTGAGGCTATTCGCTCATGAGTGTCCTTATACTTACTACCTCTCCTTCCTTAATCTACTTTTTTTTTTAAATTGTGAAAGTTTTCTTGTAATGGAGGTACTGGGGATTGAACCTAGGACCTCATGCATACTAAGCACATGATCTACCGCTGAGCTGTACCCTCCCGTCGTCTACACCTACACTGGGAAAGCTGGTAACATTTACATCCTGTTCTGAAATCCACACTTCGTTCGTAGTTGATTAAGAAAAAGGCTTTTGAGAATGTATATGCTCATGGTGTTTCAAAAAGTACCATTTTAAGCCCAGAAACAATCAGTTACAAGTCTCATGGGTCTTTCCAGAAGTAATCCTATGGATGTGTGGTAGTGTACTGCATGGACTTTTTTTTCCCCCACTCATCTTAGAAATTGCTCCATGTTAACACATAGATCTACCTCTTTTTAAGGTAGCTATGTAGTATTTTATTATGTAGATGTATACAGTTTGATCTTATAAGTCAAAATCAAAACTATATTTATGCATGACTACTCTCTCCCTGGAAACTCTCCAAATACTGGACCGTCTGGATTTATCCTGATGTTTTGTTTTTTAACTAATATTTTTATTTTTGGTCATTTTGTGTGAGAAATTTCCTAGACCTGATCAGACATAACATGTCTTTTGAGTTTTCTTTACTGTACCCTGAATCGTTTCTTTCCGTTGTGTTTATGCTGTAAATCTCTTTATTCTGGTGATCCCTGGGTTTCTGATCATAATCAGGGGAAAGAAGGCTGACTTAGTGGAACCAGGTAGAGCTGCTTAAGTTGCTGCCTTGCCTTTGGGACATACGGGTTTCTCAAATGCTAGCTTGAAAAGGGATTTTATTTTGGCATGCTAACATCAAAGACAATGCCCTAGATCCTCCAGACAGTTAGTTCAGAACCCTGTCATTTTATTTTTATTTGCCTTGGATTAAATGCCTTCCTGCTAGCAGGTCGTCTTCCCACATAAAAACCTTTAATTAGACCCTACTTGCAGCCTCACTCCTTATTCAACTTTGAGTTAAAAGCCTCCTGAATTTGCTGTCTCTTCTTTAAGAACCTTCAAGAGTACTTTGTACTGTGACTACTTCATCCATTAGCACTCTTCAGCTTTTACCCAACCTCTAGTCTGCTGATGGCCTCTTCTACTCTTTGGGTCCGTGTTTCTTTTCTGTTGTTTTAATGGGGGCCTTGAGAAGGAACGAAGGAAAAGTTTGCTCATTCTATCAACTTAAACCAGAATCCTCACTTTTGAACCTGTTTTGCACTTTTGATTTTGGAATCTGATTTCTGGGTTCTGCAAGCCTCTTCCGCAAGGTATGAGTTTCACCCATGGTGGCAATAGTGTAAAATAGTCCACAGGGGACAAAAGGGCAAAGAAACTCTTAGAAAATAACCAGGCTCTAAGAACTGGGGTGTTTTTGCATTTGCCTTGAAGGTCAAAGATCAACGATCTTAAAGGCAAATACCAGAAAGAGGCTGCCATTCACTGCTAGTGTCTTTTTCTGTTTGCCCTTTAGCATTCATTTTATTCAACAAAAAATTATTGAATGCCCTCTATGTGCTAGGCATTGTGTAGATACTGGACATTGGGATTTCAACAAGTGTTTCCCTACCTGTGTAATTAAAGACAAGGGGAAAAAGCCCAGATCAGTATTTTCTAAACCCAGTTAATAATCATAATTGCATAGAGATTTTTTTCCTTGAATACCACCCCATAGATTTAGTAGATCTGATGAAATAGGTTTGGAACCATTAATCTGAGTGATACTTCCCTTCTAATGAAATATAATGGCAACTCGTAGGTACTGTGACCTCTTTTTTAGGTTGTTCTTGAATATATAGCTCCAAATTTGGATGCTACTGTTTCCTTGAATAATAGTCCGTGGTTTAAGCCTGCACTGAACATATTTTATATTCTGCAAACCAAAATATAGGACCATAATTAATAGGATTATCCAGAAAATCATGATCAGTGTAGCCATGGATAAATGTCATATCTGAGTAAGTGCTCCTGGACCAACCTCAAACAGGCCTGTGCAAGCCACATTATTGTCTTTGAACTCCATCAGGTTGGATTAGTTTTTGTACTTTTTCTTAACTCAGTTTCATTTAGATGTTTTTTCGTCTGTTTATAAAAATGTCTGGAGAAATGCTAATTCCTTAATAATTATACTTAAGATACTATTCAAGAGCAGATGCGGAAAATGCCATGCGGTACATAAATGGAACTCGTCTGGATGACCGGATCATTCGCACAGACTGGGATGCGGGCTTTAAAGAGGGCAGGCAGTATGGCCGTGGGCGATCTGGGGGCCAGGTATGCAGGAAGGTTCTCCGGGCTCAGCCTTTACCTGGGATTCTGGTCCTAAATGACAAGTGGTTTGTCAGTTTGCATTTGCTCTTTTGAAAATGACTTTGTGGCTATAACCTTGGCTTGAAGTAAATCTGAAAGCCACCCACTGGGGCTGGTAAATTATTTTTTAAAACCGTTAAATAGTATGATCCATACAACCATTATTGGACTTCTGCTAGGGGCTAATATCCCCACCTGCAAGAGTATCTAGAACAAAAGCAAAAATGCACTGAAATGACTTTTACATTTTTATTTTGAGTGTCTTAATATTCTTTGGAATGTGCTATTTTTGAATGCTGGTATGAGCCTGGTGTCTGGTTAAAAAACCATGAGATAGTCTTAAATAATTTTGCAGAACAGTTGAGCTTTATATCAGTTGCTGAAAAATTATGCTCTGCTTCAATGTTCACATTATGACACCTGAAAAAGCTCAGCTGGCTGACATATTTGTGGGGGGCATATCTATTACATCAGTCTTCTCTATACCGTAATGTGTTCTTCTCAATTAAGGTACGAGATGAGTACCGGCAGGACTATGATGCTGGGAGAGGCGGCTACGGAAAACTGGCCCAAAACCAGTGAGTGGTGAGAGCCCCATCATGAAAAACTCACTCCTTTGGCCTTTTGAATTTGACGTGCGTTACCCAAGGTCTGCAAACCTGCCCATTTTTACCAAGCTTTAATCAACGTCTCTACTGAGGTGGAAGCTTCTTCCTGGTTTTCCTCTTAAAATTATTAAAAGGACAGAATCTGAAAGAATGCCTTTAATTCTGTAGTCTTAGAATCTTGGCTGTGTGTCAGATTATCAGAATGATTTGTCACCAGGTCAAAAATTGTGCTCCTTAGCAGCAGATTTAATGTATAATGTTGATCTATCAGCCAAAAACTGCACACTTCTTTTTAAACAGTTGGAAAGAAGTTTTAAAATGTGTACCATGTTTTACATCTAAGTATGTTCATGGTCTACGTCGGGGCCTGGAATTATTGTTTAAAAAATTTTAAGTCTGCATGAGCTGAAGTTTAATAAATGGAGTTTTGCTCTATAGCGCTGCTGTAAATTAGAAACAGATGTTTGACAACTGAATTTCTTTCTGTGTGGAATTCTAATCACTACAAACAAGAATCAAGGGAACCTCCTAAATAGTTGTTACAAAAGTAAGCCTCAGACAGTCCTAGGGGACACCACTGCTTACATGCTTTAGATTTATCAGGAAATTAGGTACAGGACTTGGAGGGTATTTACTAAACATATTTTTCAAAAGATGTGTTTTACCTATAAAAAACCAAGGGTCTGTATTATAGGGAACCTTAAGTCTGAGGGCAGGCGGACACTGTCAATAAGAAACAGATGCAATATCAGGAGCTGTGAGTTAAAACACTGCCTTGGTATGATAAAGGTCGCTGTGACAGCCCTCAGATTTTTTTTCCCCTCCATTTTCGGACTGATCTTGGGAGAGAGTGGGTTTTTTTAAAAAAGCTTGAAGATACAGGAGAAAGCTTCACAAAAACAATCAGAAATGCTTCCCTCTGGAAATGTTTTGGCTAATTCTCATTTGAAGAAGTCTTTTTTTCTCTAATTGTGCTAAATTTCAGAGCCTTGCTAGTGAACTGATGATCTCTACAGATGAGGGAGTCTAGAGGATTTGTTTTGCATTTGTAAGCAAGAGACAATTTTTCTAATATATTATGCTCATTTTAGACTGCTAATCTGTATAATTTTCCCTGATAAAAGTGAAATTTTTTCATCAAGCAACAAAGTATCTCCTAATTTCCAGTAGTTTGAAGTTGGGGCTGAAGTATCTCAATGTGAACCTCTTTCATGTTACAGTAAGTGTATATTTTCTCAAATTTAAACTGGCTATTTGAACTTTAAAAGTGCTATCTATAAATTAGTTGTAAGTACTTAGGAACAAACCATTTGCAAATATTTAATGACATAAATTCATTTTTAAAATCTTTTTACACTGTAGTTTAAAGTAATGTATTTTATATTCTTTTGCACTAAAATATAATTCAGATTTCTATAGGCCTTAAAACCAGATGGTGGTTCCTATTTGAATTGTCTTCTGTAACAGATTTCAATAAAATTGGACCAACTTATCATTGCCTGTGTTTCCTCACCAATAAGACATTGAAATGCTCCTACTCTGGAATAATAATGCACTTTTTTGGGAAATCTGTGAATAATGTGCAGAATTTGTATGTCCATTTGGATTTGACAGTTACCTAATATGGTAGCCACCAGCCACATGTAGCTAGTTAAATAAAACACTCAGTTCCTCAGTCACATTATTCAAATGCTCAACAGCCACCTGGGATTAATGGCTGGTATAATGGGTGCAAATGTAGAACATCTCCATCCCTGCAGAGAATGCTACTAAACACTGCTGTTTTAGGGCAGGCTGCTTACAGCCTACACTGGTCACTGTTCATAGATAAGCCTTGTCATGGCTAGAATGTCACTGGGAAAGAATTGTTACTCACCAAACAAACAGTTCATGTTATTCAACACGAGAGAACACACATTTATAAAGGTGTTTAGTTTATTTTTCAAAAAAATATTTTTGCTAGAAGGTTTGAGTAATTTTACATGATCACAATCTTTAAATAAATTCTTTTTCTGACCAAAAGGTACCATTTAAGTGGACAGCTTCTCTAGGTCTGCTTAAAGTCCAAATACATTTAGCACTTCTGGTGGTATTCCCTAGGTCATCTTAATTATCTACAGGCTGGGAGGCAGAGCCTAGCACATAAAGTATGCGCTTTATAACTGCTGATTAGTTCAGTTTCATAACAAGCAGAGCAGGTAGTCAGTATATCTAATTCACACTATTAACATACTGGTTCTCGCCTGAAGCGTCTGATCCACCCAGAGCTCCCAGTTATTTCTTCTAACCCAGGGAAGTCATGAACCACAGCTACAGAGAGAAAGGGCAGCTCAACTTAGGCTAGTGCTGGCTGTGTCCCTGTTAGGTCTGTTATTGTTTTATTCCAATTATGAATTCAAGATGACCAGTGTTAATAATATTCAATGATAAGTAGAAAATAAAATGCAAAGCCCCCCCCAAAAAAAAGATTCAGGGACTACTGGCAGCAACTGCTGCTTTTCCTTTCCTTAAGAGGCTCCCTTCCTTAAGAGAAGGTTGGTTCTCTACGATTTTTGAGAGAACTTAACTAAAATCTACACTCACTGCTAAAGATTTAACAAAAGGAAAAAAGCAACTAGACTAGTAAGTTTGCTGACGGAGAGGACTGAGCAGCTTGTTGAAGGCACATCATAAGCAGCTTTCAGTTTGTACAAGGCCTGCCCTCAACCCCAAAAGCATAAGGTCTGCCCACCTTGTGGGCACTCAAGACAATTCAGTGCCAAGCTAGTGACAGTAAAACAGTAACTGTCTTTTATACCAACAGCCCAGACTATAATTTCAAAAATGTCGCAAGGAAGCAATTATTGCAAACATCAGGACAAATGTCATTCTAATGTAGGACTTGGCCTAAATAGAAGTTTTACACCTAATTACAAGAAGGAGGAAAACCAACTATGTGTGCTAAAACCAAATTTCATGAACAGAAACATTTGAACCAGACTTAAAATATTTGACATTTAGGCTGAAGCATGCTGGACAGTGCACCTCAAGGTGCCCTGTGAAACTGGACATAAAGAGAGACCCTAGACTTGGGACAGCTCACTGTAGGCTCTGCTCATCCTTGCATGCCTCCCTGCTGACAGCATGACCACTCTCAGATTACAGGAAATGGTAACTCGAGCTTTGGGCCTTAAGATTCTTGCCAGAACATAATTTCGTCTCTTCTGCATGCGTGGTTCTGTCAGGAAGTGAGATACGGAGCTCTAAAGTATAAGACATTTTTAATTGATAGCTTAATTACCAAGAAAGAAAATTAGGCAAATATCTTGCATACAGATTTGAAAAATCTCATGTTTGCATAACTATGCCTAAAAACCTCAAGAAGACACCCAACTCACTTTGTCACCTTAACTAATGCTGACACAAACCTACCTGTAGCAGCACAAAATGCCTCTAATCTCAGTCTTTTTAATGAGTTGAAGCACAATAAATACTGACCTGGTTTTGTACTAAGGAGTTTGAGTCTAGGGGACTAGAAAAGTGCTGGGCTGTTTACAATGTAAACACTGGTACTGGTGCTTGGAATGTCTGGGGAAGGAACCCTGCATGTAAACATGTTCTGACTCCACCCTTAATTAGAGCTTTTTAGTTTCAACACCCCACACCTAACTAGGCATAAATCCAAGTATCTTCTGCCATTTACTTGGTATTTTTCTCTATAAGCTACTGAGTTTCTTATATTTGTTTTTCAAAACTGTCCTAGTTCAGAAAAGATAATTGGTTAGTTTAACATGCATCTTTCCTTACTTATATTTTCCAATACCACAAAAAGCTAAAGATGCAAGATCCATTACTTTAATCCTAAGGCAATTAAGGTTGAGGACAGGGCCACTAATGCCTTTCCCCAGAAGATGAGGTTCATGGAAGCAAAAAAAAAAAAAAGAAAAAAAAAGGACCCCTGTGCTGGAATCTCAGGGTTGGTCAAGTGGAGGCCAAATGAGCCCTGCAAGTCGCTGAGATCACTAAAGAAATAAGAGGGGAAAAAATCAAAACATTTGCTGTACTCCTGGCAGAATCAAGTCTTCCTAATTACCTTTCTTGTTTTCCCCTTCCCATCCATCTGCAAAAGACCTGAAGTCAGTCTTCGGTTTTGAATGTCTATATTTTAAATATCCTTGAAATAGAAAGATATTTGGCAAATCTTAATTTCTTCCATAAAGGAAACAATACAAGGAAAGTGACAACTTGTAAATTACTCTTAGAAAGGCTGGGTTCTCATTTGTTTGACCACTAGTTTGACAGATTTTTTTTTTTAATGGGTCAAAAACAAGAAATCCACGGCATTCAGCATTCCAGCAAAAGCCTTCATAAGATTAAAGCATTTATTATTGTTCTTTTTAAAACCAGGATTGAAATCTCTCATGTGTGAAGATTAACTGGACCCCCAAGGTCACTGTCTTTTTCTCATACCTTAATCAACTCTTCCCACAGCAGGTACTGCGCTTACAAGTGTGCCTACGTAAACACTCCAGTCAGTTTATGGCCACTTCCTTTTCACCCTTCAAAAGGAAAGCGACTCTCCTGGAGAGAGAAGTCAGTGAAAAGTCCTGCTGGTAAAGACAAAACGACTGGCTTTGTCAAAACCCCTCCTAGCTACCCTTTATGCCCCAGGGAACATCTACTTTTCTCAGAGTTATGTTGTATCAAAAACATCCTGCATTTTTAGGTTCTGGAATTAAAATTTGAACCTGTGTTCAGTTCACATCTAGCTAAGTTTCAAAAGCTGCACCAAATCTACTACGCGTTATTTTTTTTTTTAATACTCTGCACTGCATGCTCTGTCTATATGCATGCGTTTGGATAATAAATATTAAATATGGGGGAGGGGAGAGACACACAGAATCCATAAAATTAAAAATGAAACCAAACTGAACATTAAAAAATAGTACATGGTAGCTGGAGAAATGAATAAGGGCAAAAAATAAATTTGAGGTAACAAGAGTGGCCCAACACCACTGATCTGAAATATCTGTAAAAATTCAAATAAGTGTTTGGAGATTCAAGTAACAAACCATCTGCTCCAACTTGGTCAGACTTCCCAGAGTCCCTGCTGAGTTTCAGTCCATGAGCCGGCACTCACACAGCTCCTTGTAAATCCTCTTCCGCACTCGGGGCATGTCTTCTTGAGAAAACTGGAAAGGCTGCTCTAAGGCGAGGCACTTGCAGTACTGCAAAGGTCCCAGAAACACTTAAGTGGCATGTGGAGTTAGTACCAGCCCAGTGTACCTTACCAGATGCAGATCTCATAGAATAGGCTCTTAGGTGAATGTCAAAGTCTGTTTAAACTTGTTGTAATTCACATTGTTTTAAAACATTTACCTCCAAATTTTGGTCTATTTCCAGGCAAGGATATGGCCTGGGATTCTCCCTCCCTCCTCACTCAATATTGTGAAAAGGGAAGGTGACAAGGGGGCTCTGATTTTTCTCAAGATGCAACCTGCTGAGAATGCAGCTAGACTTAACATGGCCCTTTAAACCTGAATTTGTTCACAAACCCCAGATATTCATTAGTCATATGAATAAGCACATCTTCCAAGATCTTTGCAGTCTCTAAATTCATGGATGACAAACTAATTCCCTTCATAAATGTAATGTGTAACACATTTTTCAGTAGCCCTTTGGGACTACTAAGGGAACCTACAGCATGAGAAAAGCACAGTGTTTGAATGTGGCACTTGTTTAAAATCTAATTAGTTTTTACTCTGTGGTTAAAGACCACCTGCCAATGGCTAGAAAAAAAAGTTAACTCTGCAGATGCCAAGGGTCTATGATATGGTCAAATTCAGTCAGTCTCCAGTGTGGCTTACTGATAACCTCTAAGACACAGATGATACCAATTATTCATCTTCAGCCTTAGAAGATTGTTCTTCCTAGTGGTAATATTTGAAATGCAGAAATGACTGCTTCCCAGCAACAAAGGAAGAGAGGGAGGAAACATACTCGGTTACTTGTACCTAGTACCATGTACACATCACAGGGATTTCACTTCTAAGCCCAACAAATTTAATTTACACATTGTAAATAGTGAAAAGGGTATTTCTTTACCTGGAGCACAAATACTCCACAGTCACTGTCATTTTTCTGTTGTGGAATACACTAAAGGGAAAAACAAAATGATCATTAAAGTAAGTCCAAGTATTCCTCTTTAGATAAGAAAAGCTGTTTTTATGGAAAAATGAGCAAGAGACGGGAAACCCATCTGTATCCAGGACAGCTGGTGGATACTTCTGGTATTTAAAGTGTTTGAGGCATCTGACCACATGAAAAGAGCTATCAATCAACCACAACTTACAGAACATTTTGTCTAAATATGAGAAATGGGAAATCAAAATCCTATTTTAAAACTTCCATTTGAGTAATCAGTTTTGCTATCAACTTACTGACAATGGAATCAAAATGGATTTGTGGATGAGAGAATGCACGCCCAGACTCTGAATACTCAAGACAGTAACAATCCTGCTTGGCAGTCTTCACTTTTTTATCACATGTGACACAACTCTGTCCTGTTCTTTTAAAGAAATCGTAAAGGTAAGCAGTTACATTTTCCAAAGTACTGGTTACTGCATTCTGCCTCAGGTGGTAGGCATATTGGGATATGACAGATCCTGACTGAATTTAGGAGAAAACCTGAATATGATAGGTGGGTAAATTCAGAAAATTTACAAGTTCAATTCTGCTTTGAACTAACATGGCAGGTTATTTAAAACACAAAACAGTTTAAAAGTTAGCGTTTAGTTCAGTTCAAGGATGAACAAATAAACCTTGTCCCTTTGGGTCTGGGTTAAAGGTTTATTTCAAGACTCTGCCTCTTTAACGCTGTGTTAATGATCCAGATAGACCTAAGTTCAAGGACCCGACTGCTGGTAGTTTTGATGGCCTTTGAGGAGGGTCACACCTAGACTGCAGTTTTCTCATCTATAATAGAATAAAGAGGATTCTTATCCCTAAATGACCTGCCTGCCTCATAGACTGTAAGGATCAAATGAGATAATACATGCAAAAACATTTTGAAAACAAAGTAGTGACCATAATGTAAGACACTGGTATTTATGACAAGGTTGAGAGGCTAGGTCTGCTGCTCTGCCCCACATACAGCTTATTTAATATCTATAGCCAAACACGGTGTTGCTTCTAGACTGTGTTCAGACTGGAGCACTCATACCACTGTCTTCCCTAAATGCCTGGAAAGTAGCCCAGAGCACTTGCTCCCTTAGTGAATCCAAAGACTCATTACAGTATTTCTCTGGGTCTGTATGAGTCATTCAGAAATAAAGAGCCGTGAGGCAAGAGGCAGGTACCAGCAAAAAATTTTTCTTTTTTTTTTCTTTCAATAGGACAGCCATATCATTAGCAGCTGCCCTTGGGATGAAATGACTGAATTTACTTGTTCCCAGCAAGCAGTGAGAAATTGGGCAGCCAGATGATGAATACTGAACTGAGATTTATTCTGAGCTACCTCCCTGCAGCCTCCAGACTCTCTGTTGGCATCTTCGTGACCAGTCTTCAAATGCTTTTAAAGACACCCACCCCTTAGATAATTCCATCCCCTTGACATGCCTGGGTTTTCATTTTTATCACATACTTACCTTTGTAACAGCAGTCTGCCAACCCTGAAGAAATTCAGGTCTATTTTTTTCTCTGGCTTCAGTCAGCAAATACTTTCTTATATTCTGGTTAAAAAGAAACCACAACACAGATGCTGTGTTCCATCAGTTGGTGAAAAATGGAACCTGCCCACAGCAGACAGAAGCAAAGGAGGAGGCTGTGGCCCCACCATTGGGCAGAGAATGCATTAAAGAGTTTAAAGCTAGAACTTGATTTCAGAACTTTACACTTTATAGTGTGAAGGACTCAGACCTCCTGTACTCAGGTATGCACTCAGACTGTAGACAATGGTATATGCTTTAATTAGAACTTTTTATGAGATGGTCGGCTTTTTCTAGCAGTAAGTCAACTTGCTGAATTTGAAGCTTAAATAAATACTGGCAAAACAAAAAGTCTTAACTACTGCCAATGCTCAACAGAGGGAAGGAACCCATGGCAGAAATCATTAATAATGAAAACTAAGTTAAAAAAAAAAACACTGTAGCCTTAGATATAGTCTATATTTGTGAGGGCTGCAGGTTAAAAGTATTATTCAGTTTCTAGTAAGTTACACTTAACCCATTCTGGATACTAAATACAGTCAAGTCCACTGCTGGAACCTCTACTAAGGTGACTAAAGCCTATTAGAGTTTCAAATTTTCCTTTATGCCTTCTACCTCTTTGTGCATATCCTTCTCTGCCTATCTTTTCTAAGGGTTATGTCAAAGGTCACATGAATGAAATTAACTCCTCTGAAGGTGGAGTAGATGTATGTACGTGTATATACACATGGGTTTGTATGTGTATATACATTCATACATATATATGTCTGCATATATTATTTTCTTTCCATGTACCGTATCATTCTGCAACTTTCTTTTTCAAAATCAGTAGTCTTGGAGATCCCTCCATGTTAGGACATGTAGATCTACTATATTCTTTTTAACTGCTATGGTTGGTTCAACAGTGTGAATATACTACAGTGTATGTATTTAGCTATTCTGCTGGTAGAGTTAAATTTAGGTGGTTCTGATTTTTCACTGTTATCAGTAATGCTGCAATGAACATCCTGCTGTGTGCGCCATCCCTGTGCTGCAAACACAAGCATTTTTATTGAGTGGATAACAAGAAACAGAACTAGAATGTAATAGGATATGCATCTTTTTACTTTTTAAGGCACTTAAAACTGATTAGGAATTGCAGCTGTTCCCCAAGTGGCTGTATTAATGTATATACTCCACCAGAAAATACAAGAATAACTATTTCCTTATACCCACTTTAATACCATCAAACTTTTGTAAACTTTTCCTTATACCCAATTTAATACCATCAAACTTTTCCTAAAAAAATTCTGAGGAAGTATTCATTTGCATTTCCTTTAATTCTGGTGAGGCTGAGCATCCCTCCATGTGTTTAACAGATATATGCATTTTTCCTAAAAATTACTTATTTTATCCTCTGTCCATTTCTATTAGATCCTTATTTTTCTTATTCATTTGTAGGTGTTCTTTATATATTTTTGATAGGGACTATCTATTATATATGTCACAAACATTTTCTCTAAGTCTGTCCCTTTTAACTTTATGACATAACAGAAGTTTTAAATTATGATATGGTCAAATTTATCAGTCTGTCCCTTTATGTCTTTTGCTTTTTTGGTTCTGTATAAGAAGGCCTTCCCTACTCTTAGAGCATAAAATCTGTATTTTAGTCTAATTTTATAGTTTTGTGTATTATATTTAGGTCATTATTCTATCTGGAATTTGTTCTTATAAACAGTATGAAGTAGGATCTATATCTTACTTTTCCAAATAGCTGAATTTCCCAATGGCATATATTGAATAGCCTGTACTTTCCCAACTTTATCATATACAAAGTTCCTACATATACATGAATTACTTCTAGATTCTCTATGCTTTTCCGCCAATCTACATGTCTATTCCAAAGCCAATACAAGTATAATAGTTTCAATTATTAAAACTTTGTGATATGGTTTGACAAGTATTCCTTTAGTTTTATTCTACTTTAAAACTATTTTAGCTGTTCATTCACATGAATTCTGCAATTTGAATTCTACAATGAGCTTATCAGGTTTCATTCAAAATCCTGTTGGGAAATTGATTAGTTGGTTTATATTAGTTTGGGGAGGATTAATGTCCTTCCAATATTGAGTCTGCCTATCTTTCCATCTATTCAGATTTCCTTTAAATACTTCAAGAGCTTTCATCTCAAAGAATGGCCCCAATTTTGCTAGGGTATATTCCTGGATAATTCACATCTTGGTTGCTTTTGAAAATGGAATCTTTCTGTTTTCAGTTACATTTTCTAACTGGTTCTTGCTAGTGCAGGAAAATCAGGAAACATATACTGATTTTTTTTTGCTTTATATCCCACCATCTTGTTGAACTCTTTTAGTTGAATTCTAATACTGCCAGCTGACTCATTCTACAGAAGTTATTTTGAAGATACAAGCCAATTTTGGCTCTAAGAGAAACCAAAGAAAATGACTTCTATCCACATTCAAAATGTAGTTTTAAGAGAAAGAAAAGAACAAAAATCTGACAGAATCCAAACGGCATGTATCTCAGAGAAGGATCCAGATCATAGACCACTACCTCTTCCCACCTGGAGATTCCTCTTGTAGTCCTTTTCTCTGCCAACATTTTGGCATGACATGACAGAAACTGATCATCCATGGTACTGACTTCTGCTGTTCTGTCCAGAGCTAAGATACCATTTGGTTAATCACAAGATAAATGGAAAAAAAATGCAGTATATTAACTTACCTCTACACAAAACTTAAAATGAATGCCTTGGGAATCATAAAATGAAATAATTCGATTGGAGAGTGTCACAGTAATGAGAGACCAGTGGACTTCCAGGTGAATAGGAATCAACAGAAGACTCTTTTTAAACAAATCCACCTGATCAAGAAAAGGGGAAAAAATGGAGTCATCACCACAGGTTTTCAAAACCAGTAACAATAAACAGCAGCTTACATTTACTGACCTTTGACCTACCCACAGTCATAAAACTAGGAAGTGATGAAGCCAGAATATGAGCCTAGATCTTAGTCCAAAGCCCTGTTTATAACTAGTAAGCTGTAACACATAACAATAAGAAAACTGAAGATACAGAAAGCACTGTTTTTCATTTAACCCGCTAAACCTGTGCTTATCAATTACGTAATATGATCTAGCCCCTTATTTTTAAGCTTAACTAATTTTCTTACATACATATTTGACCTAGAATCAATTCTTAATTAGGAAGGAATCATGGTATTAGAAAACAGCACAGCCATCTATTCGCCTTCTATCTTTCCACAGATGTGGTGTAGTAGTTAAGATCATGGGTTCTGAAGTAAGTCTGGTCAAGTTCAAATTGTGGCTCTTTCAGTTATTGACTAGATAACTTTAGCATTTTTCATAGCTTCTTTGTGCTTGATTTCCTCAACTATAAAATATAGATAACAATAGTACCCAGCTTATGAAGTTGGTGAGAGTGATAATACATGTAAAATGCACAAAAGTGTGCTTGGTGCATTATTTGTAGCCAGTAAATCTTAGATCATTATTACTACCATGGGTCTCTCAGATGTTGAATATACTTAATAATTCTTTATACATCCTTTACATCCTAACTCATCCTTCATATCCTAATACATATTCTTTAAAATCTAGAAATATTCACTGTACCAGTCAAAATCCAAGTTGTGGATTGGATATAAAGTAGTAGGTACTCAATAAACATTCATAAAAGAGTGAATGGATTTCTTTTTTTTTCAGATGTTTTTTGTATCTTGGTGATTCTTTGGGTTAAAACAATTACAAGGCTATTTTAAACTACATAACAGATTCTTAGAAACTATTTCTCAAGCTTTCCTTGCTTTCTTATATTCAGATAATGTCCTGCTCTAGATGAACCTTCTTCTAGTCTACATGGCTTTGGTACAAAGCACATTAGCACTTCTGTTTTTCGGTTTCAGCATCCATAAACCTGGGAGGTGAGGTAAACAGAAGGAAATATTAAATAGGACAGACAATTGGTCCTTTCCAACTCAAAAATTCTGAGTATCTAAACCAAGAATCATGTTTAAAATACAGTATTAAATGAGAACAAATTTACATTTTCCTCAAAAAGAAACTTAATTATAAAAACAATTTAAAAATAAAAATTAGAAAATACAGATGAAAAGATATAGTTAAGTATGTATCTTTCCAGATCTTTTTCTTCTTTTTAATATATTTTTACACATACACACACACACACACAAACACTCACACAACCGTATCCATATAATTAAGAATGATGTGTGTGATTGACTGTATTACTGACCCCAAATATTTGCTGTCCTCCCTATAAAAGAATTATACACAACTGCCTACTGCCCCTCGCGGTGGGGAGAAAAGCAGTCATATGATTTGCTTTAACCAATGCAATGTAAAGAGAAATGAAGTTATGTCAAGACCAAGCTGAAGCTTCAAGAGCCATCATGTGGCCCTGAGACTGGCATGTCTCTAGATTAGGTGCTGCTCCTTCAGTCTGGGTCCCATTAAAGGAATAAAGAGGAAAAAAACATACGATCATCTCCTTAGACACAGGAAGAGTATTTGGTAAAACGACATCCATCTACGATTAAAAACTCTCAGCAAACCACATATGGGAAGGAACTTCCTTAACCTGATAAAGAGCATCTACAAAAAACCTACTGCTGACCTCATAAATAATAGTGAAAAACTGAATGCTTTCCTCCTAAGATTAAGAACAAGGCAAAGGTGTCCTCTCTCATTACTTTTATTCAACAATGTACTAGCCAGTCCTACCCAGTGCAGTAAGCCAAGAAAAAAATGGCATACAGTTTAGAAAGGAAGAATTAAAAGTCACTAGCTAGAGCCAGTGAGTGAGTTTGGCAAGTCGCAGAATACAAGGTCAATATACAGAAATCTATTGTATTTTTATATACTAACAGCAAACAACTGGAAGATAATATTTTAAAAATTCTGTTTATAGCAGCTTCAGAAGTAGAAAATACTTATGGATACATTTTTAAAAATACATGCAAGATCTGTACACTAGGAATTATGACACGTTGCGGAGAAAAATTAAAGACACAATAAATGGAAAATATACTAAATTTGTGTCCATTCTCCCCAAATAAACATATAGATTAAACACAGTCCCAATCATAATGCAGCAAGTTTTTTAAAGACAGAGATTGACAAGCTGATTCTAAAATGAATATGAAAATACAAAGGGCCAAGAATTGCCAAAGCAATCTGGAAAAAGGTTAAAGCTGGCCACTTACACCGATTTTAAGACATACTATAAAAATACAGTTATGAAGCCAGTATGGTAAAAACAAAGAGATCAGTGTAAAAGAACATAAAGTTCAGAAATAGACCAACACATATATGGTCAATCAACTTTCTACAAAGATGCCAAAACAATTAAACTGGGAAAGAGAAGCTTTTTCAACAAATGACACTGGATATCCATATGGAGGAGGAAGAAAAAAAAAAAAAAAGAACCCTGATCCCTACTTTATGTCTTACACAAAAATTGAGATGTAGCCGAGATGTAAACCTAAAATTATAAAGCTATTAGAAGAAAACATATAGGGCAAATATTTTTAGACTGGATATGGAAAGAAAGAACTATTAAAAGTATGGTAAATTAGATTCCATCAAAATTAAAAATCTCCATCAAAAGGCATGTTTAAGAAATAAGAAAAGCCACAGACAGAGAAAATAATCACAAAACACAGATCTGACAAAGGACTTATATCCAGAACAACTCAATAATAAGCCTTTCTTTACTACAAACTTTTTTATTTATTAATTTTTTTACTTTTATTTTTTCCCTCATTAACAGAGACACTGGGGGTTGAACCCAGGACCTCATGTATGCCAAGCATGCGTTCTACCTCTGTGCTACACCCCCCACCCTCAAATTTTTCATTCATGTCATTTACGCATTTTTCTATTGAGTTGGTGAGGTCTTTTTCTTATTGATTTGTAGAAGCCCTTTATATATTAAGAAATATATGAGCTGTAAATATTTTCCCTAGTTTCCTGTTTGTCTTTTTATGTAAACTGAATTAATTTGGTTTTCTTTTATACCATCTGAGTTTTAAGCTATACTCAGAATGGAATTTGCTACTCTCAGAGTAGTTTTTAAAAGTTTGTTATGGATTTTCTTAGTACTTTCATTGTGTAAGTTTTGTTGCATTCAAATCCTTGGTCATTCTGTAATTTATCTCAATGTAATCTAATTTAGTCAGTACTTAATTCTTCTATTTTTCATCTTTTAATAATAATGGCATTTATGGCCATTATTTTTTCCTCAAAACAGCTTTATTACGTTCCATAGTTGTTTGGTAAGATGTGTTCCCCTTTCCATCCCTTCCTAGACAGTTTGTATATAATTTCCTTTTTTATTTTCTTTTAGGTCCAAGGGTTATATCATATGTAAAATTTTGCAGTTAAGGTTTTTTAGTCATCTTTTATTATTTACTTTTAATTTGACTTAATTGTGCTCAAGGAAGTGTATGTGTAATAATTTTCTTTGTGGCCAGCTTACATGATCAATTTTTACAAATGTTCCTTAGATGCAGGTATAAATGTATATTTATTCTCTTTTTGAGGGGTATAGAGATCTAGTATCTATTAAGCCAAATATGTTAGTTGTATAATATTTATGATCTTATTTTTTGTCTACTAGATTGTTCAACTATGAGAGGCCTTCTACTATCAAGACCTGTTTATCAAGGTCTCCTTGCTTCTTTAATACTGTTATATCTTCTATGTACAGAAGTTTTATCAGTGTACTTTTCACCTTAAATTCTACCTCATCTGCTGTTAATACTGCTATTCCTTTTTCTGTCTGCCACTTCTTTCTTTTAGTTTGTATTTGCCTTGTACCTCACCTGTCACTTGTTTTCAAGCTTTCTTTTTTATATTATCTTATGTTTATTTCTTATATACAGCATATAGTTGGATTTTGTGATTTAATCCAGTCTGAGAGGATCCAGAGAATGGAACAATTTAATTCTATTTAATGAAATGACTCATAAATTTATACTTGACTTTATTCCTTCATTCTTATGTTTATTATTCAGATATTATTCCATGAGTATATATTTTTCCATGCTATTTACAGGACATACTTTGTTTTACTGCACTTTGCAGATATTGTGCTTTTATTTTACAAATTGAAGGTTTTTGGCAACCCTGCACTGAGCAAGTCTATTGGTGCCATTTTTCCAACATTTCTTTATTTCATATCTGTGTCACATTTTGGTAGATCTCGCAATATTTCAAAATTTTTCATTATTATTATATTTGTTATGGTGATCTGGATCAGTGATCTTTGATACTACTACTATAACTCACCAAAGGCTTAGATGATGGTTAGCATTTTTTAGCAATAAAATACTTCTTAATTAAGGTATGTATGTTATTTTTTCAGACATAATGCTATTGCAAACTTAATACAATACAGTATAAATTTAACTTTTACACGCACTGGGAAATCAAAAAATTCAGTGACTTACTTTATTGTGGTGGTCTGGAACCAAACCCATAATAATATCTCTTTTCTCTACTCCATACTATATGTATTTATCTTTCCTCAGCTACAGTCCCCTACTTATCTTAATTTGACCAGTCCCCTACTAATTAGTTGTCCTCAATTTTTCTAATATAAACACCACCACAGCCCATCCAGTGGCACAAACCCATAACTGGAAGTCATCTTTGACACTTCTTTTTCCTTCATCCTCATAACAAACTCCACCAAGCCTGTTAGTTTTACTTCCTAGATCACACTCATAATTGTGTACATCTCTCATCTCTCCTGCTACCATTCTAAAATCTTCAGTGGCCTCCTATTCTACCCACAACAACTTTGCTTCCACACTCATCCATCATCTTCAGTGCCGCTAGAGCAGACTATAAGTTGGATATTGTTACCTAGACCCCTTCAAGAGATTCTCGCACATTTAGGATAAAATTCAACACATAGACCTTAAGGCCCTACATGTCTCGATCAGACTGCTTCATGCCACTCTCTTCTTTGCTCTCTGCATTCCAGCTACACTAGTCTCCCATGCTTCTACCATCATAATATGAAAAAGATCACCACTTACTGTTTACCATGTGCTTAGGAGTTTACATGCATTATCTCATTTAATCCCCACAACAAGGTAAATACCATTAATATTCCTATTTTAAAGATGAGGAAACTGAAGCTTAAAGAAATTAAGTAATTTGCCCAAGGTCTTACAACTGGTTAAGTAGCTGAACTAGGCTCTGAACCAGGTCTGACTCCTGAGTTCATTATATCTATTTCCCCAGATTTGTACTCTTAAACCACATTTCATTTATCTTGGCACTACTGATGACACCTTGCATATATTAGCTACAAAGCAATGCTCAATCAGGTATTCAAACTTTGCAAAAAATTATTTCCACCCACAATGTAAGTCTTACTCTTTTTTTTCCCTTTTTCTTTTTTTAAATGAAGGTGCAGGGGATTGAACCCAGGACCTTGTGCATGCTAAGCAGGCACTCTATCACTGAGCTATTTCCCCTGCCCCAAGACTTACTCTTAATTTCACTAACCCATTCAGTGTAAAAGGTGAAGTTACAATATCTCTAGAACAATGATTGTGGAATTTGAATCTACTGGTAATTTTTTCCAAAATATCAAAAACAGAATATAAGGTGGCTTTTAAAATGTCTCTGACAAATCAATGAATATAGAGAGAAATTAAGGTTGGAAGGAACCTTAGGGATTACTGTGATTTATCATTTTGTTTTATAAATAAGCAATCTAAAGCCCAAATTAAGTGTCTTTTCCAAGTTGCACAGCAAGCTAATAGCATTGTCAGAACCATTTACTTCCAGCCCAGGCTTTCTGTTATAGCATATTCCAGTCAACTGGGTAGGCTCAAGACTCAAGTGTCCTGTCTTTCAAACAAAAAGATTTAAAAGAAACAATAAAAAACTTACATTAGAGTCTGTTTCTAATTAACATCATATTGGCATTAAAGTTGTCCTTCCACTCAAAGTGGCTTATCATCTGCATTTCAAATTTAGAATAAAAAGAAATAGAATACCTTTTTAGTCCATCTTTTTACTCCATTATATCCTTTGGTTACCAGCTGTCTATGAAAAAAGCTGTTGAAGAAGTGAACCTAGAAGAGATATCAAATACAAGCACTCAGATTAAGCTGTACCCAGATTTAACGTCAAAAGAAACGGAAATTTTAAAAATCCCTGAATGTAAGATAAACACAAAAATGAGGAAAAGTTTCTTCTTAAGAATAATGACCAAAATGTATTACTCAGTTCACAGAAGACTTTCAAATTTTCATTAGAATGACCTTACAGCTGTGGGGTGTAGTCAGAAGTGGAATGGGGAAGTAAATAGATTACCCGAATCCAATCATGTAAAAAAGCAACCTGATAAATCTCTTCAAATTAGGTGATAAATTTGAAAGAGGCTATGAAAGAATGAGGTAATAATACCTTGAACTCAAGGGATGTGGATTCCAAAACTAACCCCAACTGAAGGATGTGGATTTGGAGACTCTGTAGTCACAACTATAAAAAGGCCTTAGCGTGATCATTTCTAGCACTGAAAGAATTACTTGGTCATATGGCATCACAGCCTGCATCCTTGGCTTTTTCAAACTTCTGACTTACAAAGTAGTATCAGCTCACCTGAGAGTAAACATACTGTGGTCTTAAAGTATTCACTCAGTAACTGACTCACTTGAGATGGTAAAACTGATCCCTTAGTGCTGAGGTGCTCAGGATGTGTCACCAGACCAGCAGTATCAGCATCATCTGGGAACATGCTAAAATGTAATTCTCAGGCTCCACTCCAGACCTAATAAAGCAGAAACTCTGAGGTGAGGCTGAAGTGAGGCTCAGCAATCTGGTTTCTGACGATTCTGTTACACATTTGTGTCGAAAACCACGCAGCTCTACATATCAATAAAAAGGGTGTAGTGATTCTAGCTATCTCTAGAGCAGTGATTCTCAAACTTCGAGGGCTTCAGAATCTGAAAGGCTTGTCAACACATAGATTGCTGGGCCCCACATCCAGTTTCTGATTCAGTAGGTGTGGGCTAGAGTACAAAAATCTGCATCCCTAGTAAATTCCCAGGTAATACTGATGCTGCTGGTCTGGGGACTACACTTGGAAAACCACTGCCTTACTAAGTGTCCTTTTAATCCAATGAAGGCTTAGAATTAAATGTAGCAGTTATGAAGGGAAATTATACCCCTGAAATTAATACTTTATATTAAAAATCATCTGTATGTGTTTAGATTTAAACTTTGATGATTAAGAGAATTTGACATACTAGAGAATCTGACAGACTACCCTCATTTCAATTTAAAATGCATAACAAATTTGTGATTTTTAAGTGGAAAGTCAGACATTTTGTCTATATTCATAAAACAGTGTTGGAATCTGAGATTCATTATATTTGCCTGTCTAAATTATTAGATTTATAAAAGTGGAGGGAGGAGGGTATAGCTCAGTGGCAGAGCACGTGCTTAGCATGCACAAGGTCCTGGGTTCAATCCCCAGTACCTACAAGAAGGGAAGGTAGGGAGGGAGGAAGGGAGGAATCGAGGGAGGGAGGGAGGGAGCGAGGGAAAACAGACCTTGAAAAAGGAAGAACTTGAAAGGTTTTGCCTGTTGAAATCAAAGGCTGCCCATCAGGGAATTTAAACACTCAGAAAGAAAAATTAACATATTAAATTTTTTAAAAGTTTTGATGCGTAACTAAAGTCTTAAGGGAATTTTAGAGTTTAAGGAGGGTGGTCTGTATTTGAACTATCAAAGACTAATCCAAGAAAAAATGAAAATGAATACTACTTTACTACATTTTTAAAGGGAGTAAGACATTAAGCTAAATTTAAAACCGTAAATCAAATAATCCCTTTTGTGCATCTCCCTACTTAAAAAAAAAAAAAGCCTCCTCAAGTTATCAAAAAAAAATCCACTCTGAAACAAATAAGCAGGAAAACACTGGGATCATGACTTTCTTATGCTGACATGACTTTACAGAACTTATGCCCAACCCTAGCACAAGACAAAGACAAAACCTAATGTTTTCTAAAAATCTAAGAAATATCTAATAATTATATAGTTAAAAAACAAAACAAAACAAAAGTCCTTTAATATATAAGGACCCTCCTGAATTAAGAGAAAATTTTCACTTACTTTGTCTGGGACTGCATCCATTATCAGCTCACCGTACATATTAATGACCTACAAAAGTCAACATAAAACCAGCTCACTAACCCCTATGCAATTCAGAATGCCCCATTCAGAATGAATAACATATTGATACTGCTAATAGTAATCAAGCCTTTTGGATACTGGGATTAATGAATAAGTCACTTCAGTAAGCAATAAAGAATCCTTGATTCCAAAAGATAATTGTGAGACCAACCCAGAGGTAATCAATTATATTTTATTGTCCAACATCCTCTGCAACTTTTCCACTTTGAGAATCTACAATACACTAACCTGGTCATTCAGCCAATTCTGACCATCCAGGGTTGCCAGATCATCCATATCCAGCATGTGTTTATTGTAGAAGATGCGGAAGTTGCACTTTTGATGTCTGGCCCTATAGTTTGTTATTTCCCTATTGATAAATGGTTTTCTGAAACAAATATTTTGAAAGAAAAGGAAAAAAAAACACATAAGTTCAACTCGATTTATTGCTAAGTATCTTTTTCTTTAATCAAGAGAAAAGTCATATATGTCAAAAATTTTATTTTCAAGGGCTTAACTTAAGCATCATTAACGAACCTATTTGAAAAGTCTTCATTAAAGACATCTTTTAATCTTCCAAGGACATCTTTTTCACTGAGTGGGACCAAACTGCCATACTTCTTCATAACCTCATCTAGGAATCCTTAAATAAAGGAAGAAAGAAAAATTAAGATGGAAAAGCTATTTTCAGTAAAGTCATTCTCTCTACACTTAACCTATACACAACACTTAATATACATTTAACCAACACTGCTACATGTATTATATTGTAAAAAAAATTTTAAAGTTATCTTTTTTAAAAAAAGGAAATGGATCAGGCCCTCACCATTCCAATCTAGAAATACTCTAGGTCATGATTTCACATTGGAGTTTTAAGTTACTGATGCATTGTTAGAAAGAGAATGGCTACTTGAAACTAAAGATTGACATTTTTTAGTAGCTTAACCTTGGAGAAGAATCCTTTCTCCTAAAGAGTAAAATCTAAAGGGCTTAATCACCTGGTTAAGTATGTCTATCACATTTAGTAACGGAAGAAGTTATCTTTTTAAAAATAACAATGAGAGGGAATTAATTGAGATCACTGTCACTGTATTATTTGACAAAGGTGTGTAATTTCACATCTTATTAATAACAAGGGACAAATTCTAAAGCATTTTTAGTAACATACAATTTGACAGTTATTATACTCATGATACTGCATAACCCTGTGAGGTGAACTTAACTGGATAACAGCTGGTGAGGCACATTTTAAAAGAGGAAACAGAATTAAAGGATGACTTCTTGGTCAGTATATAGGATAGTCTTCAGGTCAATTTAAATATGTATATGCATTTTAATGGCTTCCAAGAGGATCCACTGAAGAAATATACCTAAAAATACCCTAGGAAATAAAACTAGGTCATTACTTCTAAGTAAATATAAAGAAGCTGAGGGAAGGCTTAGAGGTTCAGAGAAGTGTATGACTTAGGCTGTTCACGGATGTTGAGTGGGGAGAGCAACAGTCTGGCTAACCATCAGTCCCACATTTAAGTCCACTGAGTTAAGATGGAAAAAATAAAGACTGTTAGCCACTTATTTTATCTGCCTTCCCTTTAAAAAAATTTTTTTTATTGAAGTACAGTCAGTTAAAATGTGTCCATTTCTGGTGTACAGCACAATGTCCCAGTCATGCATATATATACACATATATTCATATCCAGCCCCCTTTCTAACTTGAAGAATGGCCCCTGCTATGCATCAATACAGAACGAACAGGAATAATCACAACAGAGTGACTGGGAATGGAGTGTTTTGTAAGGGAGAGGACAGAGAAAAGTGTGAAAAACCTTTTTTTCCTCCTGTCAGTCTCCCACCAGAGTGGCTCTCAATTTGAAAGGCTTAAGACAAGAGCAAAGGTAGGATATAGTTAGCAGGAAAGAGGTGCTTGCTTATGTCTGGTTCTGGTCTAGGCTTTACGCATACGGAAAACAGAAAGGGAGTTCTGTGCTCCAGTTTAGCCAGAGCAGGAGGTGAAGATTTGGGACTTCCAAACTAGGAACAGAGCCTATGTTTCCCTGTAGTGTTTACTGTATCATACCTTATAGTTATCCAAGCAGAGCCTTGTGTCTACATGGGAGAATGGACCTCAACAGACGATAAGGAATCCTAACATTTGAGAAACTGCATTTAAGGAATAAATTTTATAAAAAGTAATGCCCCTAATAACAAAAAATTAAACTTTAGGTCCAGCAACCTTAATTGAGACCCTCCAAATATGAAAGCAGTCTCCTCTATCAAAGGGACATGGACTCCAATTCCAAACATGTAACAAGAGTGTCCTCACTAACAATGTTATTTCTGGATGGTAGTATCTGGGGGAGGGAGGGAGGTTAAGTTGCTATATATTTTTCCTTTAATCTATATTTTTGTTCTCATTTTCAGATGATAAACATGGACTCCTAACGCAGTAGAAAGACCCTACCTGATCTTCAAAGAGAACCCTAACGACGTCTCTCTGATGCACACCATTATCTCACTAGGACCAGAATTAAAACAACAGTTAAAAAGCACTCATAAGACGAGCACTAGCATATCTCATTTCATCCTTTTAACTATCCTGTGTGTTAGAAAGCATCCCTACTTTACAAATGGAGACAGGAGGTTAAGTAACTTCCCCAAGGACCCTTAACGAACACACGGCAGAACTAAGATGATTGTAGGTTATGCGACAACAGAAACTGAGCCATTAACTACTATGCTATGCCACCTCCTAAGCAGGAAATACCTATTATCTTTTCTCTACATAAACAACTTAGTTCTTCACTTTACCTTTCCCTTTTAATATCCGTGGGCCAAGAAAAACCCAGAACACAGACTTCTTAAAAAGAATTAAATTCATTATTCTTTATCCACTTGCTTTTACCAAACCAAGGAACCAAAAAGGAAAAAACATTTGGAACACACAATTTCTTTTACTCCAAAAGTACTAAAATTTCAATATGACCAAGAAACAAAGGATAAAATGTTAGGAAAAAACAAAACAACAACTAGAGTTTGAATTATATTCTATTCTGAAAGTACAAAATGTAATAATATGAAAAACAAAAACTGAGGTGTTATTTTAGAAGTTAAATTACTCATCACGTTAAATCAACTGTAGTGGACAGTTTTTTCTTTAGACAACCGACTTGGGTCACATCCCACCCTGTAAGTGGAAAGGTGTTCATTGTGTTGTGCACACAAGAAATGCAGCCATTTGGTTCTCCTAAAACATACAATACACGTCAGAAAGGTCCCACCACAAATGACAAAGGTGTAAGATATCTAAGAATAAACTTATGAAATGTGTAAAACACTACCAAATTTTAGTAAGGGACATAGGTCAATAAATGGAGTAACTGTTTTTTGAACAAGAAAACTCCAGATTGAAATGAATGCAATTTTCCCTAAATTAATCTATTAATATAATGCAATAAATCAAACACCATTGTTCGTTTAATTTAAAAATAAATCCCAAATTCATTGTGCAACAAAAATGTAGGAAATTCCTAGAAATTTTTGGTAAGGATTTTAAGGGGAGAGGTGAATAGGAGCAAGAGAGAAGAGGAGGAGGGCCAAGTCCATTGAACTATAAAACCAACTACAGTAATTAAAGCACAACAGTGTTATCATGGAGAGAAACCAACTAGAAAGGGATCCAAATGGCAAGCGGCAATCATGGGGAAAAGATGAATTAATCGGTAAACAGTATTAGAATTACTGACTAAACATTTTATTCACAGTTGAAATTCATTTTGGTGTAAAGAATGAGGTGAGGATCCGTCTTTCCTTTTACCAAACAGCTAAATGTAAAAATAACACATTAACAGTTGAGAAGAAAATAGGATTGAATACTCTTATAAACTTGAAATGGGAACAAGCTTTAAGTAGTTTTTTTCCTAATATATGACCGTAAACATTTTAAAATAAAATGGCAGTCAATCCGTAATTCCTTTAGAAATTTTTTGCCCTTATGAACATGTATGTCTGAAACATGTAAACAGCAAACTATACTCACTCTTCTTGAAGCCACTTTTTTCCATTCAATACATGAATTTTATTTTTCCTAAGTCAATTCAAAACAATCTAGTAGTCCATTAAGTTGATTTGCCACATTTTAATCAATTCCCTACTGATGACCTTTAATTCATTTAACATTTATGGAATCAAATTAGTACATTTTTATTACTTTTGAGTTTCCCACCATGCTTAAAATGTCTTATCAACATGAGATTTTAAAAAATGGTCTCTTGTATTGCTTTTTAACAGCTTGAGCTATGATTCATGTACCACAAAATTCACCCTTTTAAAGTTTACAATTCAGAGATTTCTTTGTATATTTTGAGTTGTACAACCATCACCACTATCTAATTTCAGAACATCTGCATTACCCCACAAAGAATCTCTGCATCTGTTAGCAGTCACTCCTCATTCCTTCCTCTCCCCACCCCCGGGCAACCATTAATCTACTTTTCTATATGCCTACTCTGAACATTTCAAATCAACAGAATCATACAGTATGTAACATTTTATGTCTGATTTCTTTCACTTGGCATGTTTTCAACATTCACCCACACTGAAACATATCAGTTCTTCACTCCTTTTTATGGCAGAATAATATCCCATTGTATAGGTATACCAAATTTTATTTATCTATTCTTTGGTGGACACTTAGGTAGTTTCCCCTTTTTGGCTATTACGAATAACAATGCTACGAACATTTGTGTTCAAGTTTTTGTATCTGTTTCTAACTAAATTTTTAATCCATCTGGAATATATTGTGATATAGGAATCTATTTCTTATCCTTCCAAAACAGATAGCTAATCTGAATACAATCTAGATTTTTCTATCCTCCCTCAAATCTTTTAAAGTTGTCTTGTACAAATATAACCCAGTATTATTTTTCTGCAACTTACTGTCACTGCAAAGCATTCAACTTGATTTGAAGGGAGTAACTTTCTGAATTCATATTTCATCAGCTGATGCAGTATTTGATAAAAACATGAAACAAAAAGTAAATTTTAATAAGTAAAATGGGATCTTAATAAATATATAAATACAAAATGAGCACAACATGCAGTTATATTAGAGAAGAGCCAGCATTTAGCATACCATGCAACAATGCTGTAAGTCAGTCAAAGGAGTATCTACCATACTGATTGTCCTATATTGATTCTTATTCTGATTGCTCTATTCATTCTTATTACTCAGGTTTAGTTCTCTTATTTGTTTTGTCTCGTCCATTGTGTTGGCTTTCCTCAGATGTCTGGTGGTAGATGTAGGCTCATCACTACTTGAGTAACTGTAAGGGCTGTAATGGACAGGAGCTTTTGCTATGTCTTGGAACTATTTTCAACGTGAGGATGCTAAGAACCTCCAACACTGTTCTGGAAAGGGTTGTTCTTCATTCTTGTCAGGTGTTACAAGTAATGGAGCAGGGGGAGAGGGAAATGTCCTGTCTCTCCCCACCTATCCTTAGAATTTCAGCGCTGTATGTCAATTATATTTCAATAAAATTGAGGGGAGGGATTTCAGCTTGATAAGAGAGATCCTCTCTGCTGGGATGTGGCACAGGCAGGGAGAGATGCTTTTGTGGAGATTCTCCAACTCCTCAACCTTTTACCGTAAGTCTCCCCTTTCCTCCTCACCTCCACTATCTCCAGAAATGGGACACTCTCAGTGTTGCACCATTTTCCTGCATTAATCTTCCTTCTGCTGCTGGGGTTCCTCTCTGGACCTTGTCTCTACTTTCTGCCATGTAGGAGTTTGTTTGTGATCCACCAAAACTCTTCTTGTTTTTGACTACAGAGACACACATGTTTTTAACATATTTCCCACAATTTTATAGATTTCATAGGAGAGGAAAAGATTCCATGGGCTTATTTCATCCTCTTAAACCTGGAACTGCTATTGGTTTCTAACAGATATTCTTTACCAAGTGAAGGAAGTTTTCTTTATTTCTAGTTTTCTAAGAGATTTAAACATAAGGGAAACAGGCCTACATTACTTGCTGAGGTGCCATGGTTTTTCTCCCTTAGCCTATTAAAATAATTACAGTACAGATCATGAACTATGAATTCTATGACAATTCCTATGTCTTCATGTCATGCTACAGTTTTACTATAGGATATATTCAATTTAATAACTTTTTGGAAGTGCTACATCTATATTTATAAGTTAACTGGTATTTGTGGGTAAATGTTAACTTTTTCAGGTTTATGAATCATGGTTCTGCTAACCTCATAGTAGGAAAATCTGTCTTCATTCTAGGTCAGAATAAACAACAAATTATCTTTTTAAAGATTTCCTAGGACTCTGTATTGTCTTTTATGTGGGAAAAGCTTTTTTATACATACTAAACAGTTAAGAAAACAAAGTGTTAGAATTGTTTAAACCACTAAGAACTCTCCTAACTCCCCAGAATAAGACATTTATAACACTTTGATATATCTGTCCAGATTTGTCCTATACAAATGCACATCACACGTACATATATGTACTCATCCTACATATGTCCATATATATCTTAACAAAACGGCATCCTTCTGTTTTGCAACTTGCTTTTTTGACTTTACATAGACAATGGTTAGTATCAAAATAAAGACTGAACTTTTTCTTTAACAGTTTCATGGTATACTAGTGTCTGGATGTGCTGTAATTTATATGTCCACAGAAACACTTGTTGCTGTCTTCAGTTTTCACTACCAAGACTACACTATACGTAATGTCCCTGTACAAATATATTTTACTCTTTTATATCTTGGACAAATTACAAGGAAAGGAATGAGCTGAAGACTGATACTGCTCTACTGTCTTCCAAGAATGTTTATACTAACTGACTTCATGGAGGTAGATTTTGACAAGAGGACTTAAAAGCATGATGCAAAAACTTGAAACCATAAAGACAAGACATATAAATTGTAGTATGTAAGAACTGAAATTTTCTGTTGAGCAAAAATATCAGTTACAAAGTCAGGATACTGAAGGCTTTTACCAAAATTTAATTTAACATCTTTAAAACTATAATGATGCTAAGGAACATGAAGGTAGGAATCAGTGTATCCTGTTTGTTGCTACATTCTTAGAACTAGTACAGTGCCTGGTACATAGGAGCTTTTTATATATTAAATAAAATATAAACAATTCAACAGAAAAATAGGCAAAGGAAAATTATGTACAAATAAAAAATGGCCAACATAGAAAAAGATGCTCAAACTTTAAACCTAAAAACACAAAGAATTAAAACAAAGAATTCTCATGCAATCTATGAGACTAGCAAAGTTTAACAAGTGCAAACTCTTTTAACTTTTCGGAGGGTAACTTAGCAATTAACTTAAAAATTTAAGTGTGAGTATTCTTTTCCCATCAATTCTACTACTAGGAATTTAACTTACAGAAAACAACTGTATAAGTATAAAGAAGTAATTTCACTGCACCATTGTTTATAGAAGGAAACAACTGGAAGCAACACAAGTGTCCGTCAGTTAAGAATTAAATAAGTTATGGAACATCTATATAATACAGCAATATCAAAGGCTTCAAAAAGAATGCCTACTTGCTTAAAGGGAAATCCATGTGTGGAAGGAAACAACAGGACTCTCCTAGATAGGACAATGGACAGCAAGTGTGGCTGGAGACTGGGGAGAATAAAGGAAGAGTGCATACCAGAAAGGCAGATTGACAGCTGTTCATCATCCACTGGAGAGGCTTTTTGACTGTTCTTCCCACCTCCCACTTGATTTTCTAGTTTGAGTCCACTGCACGTCAGAGGAGCCTCCAGTGGACTTTTACAGTAAGGGTGGTCCAGCAACTTAGAACTAAGAATGTTCTGCTTGAATGATCCATCCTCATCCATCTGGCATGAGCTCTCATTTTGAACAGTCTCTTCAGACACAGGCCCATCTACACTACTTACAGACTGATCTGCCCCAGACTCTGACAGTTTTATTCTGTCATCATTGACAGTACTTGTCCGATTTTCCTGACCCAGAGCCATAGCTTCTCTCTCAGTTTCCGAGATAAACACACCACTAGAACGATGTTCTGGTAAGGGGAAATCATGAATCAGCTCTGTACACTCCCACTTAGGAGAGGAACAGGGTGACTGGTCCCAGGTATATGTGGCACTGCCATTCTGCTGGTCAGGAAATGCTTCGTCTAAACTAAGCTCCTTGCCCACGAGAGGGCTTCCTTTAGCGTGGCCATCAGGCACATGAGAGTTCTTTCCCTTCACCACAGCATTGCTGTCCATATCTGAAAGGTATGGTTGATGCTGACAAGAAAGGTCTTTAGGTTCTGGGGAAGGGAATGGGCTGCAACTGCCACCCTCACGGTTCTCCCTAAGGGTCTCTTGATGGTCCCCAGTGACCTGCACCCAGCTTCGCTGGGCTTTTTTTAGCTTGCAAACTTTGCTTTTTGTTCTGAAGTGCTGGGATCTGAGAATCCTGTACCGAAATCTAATCATCGATAATTTCTCATACATCATATGAGGAGATACTTTTATTCTTCTATGTTGCTTAAGTTGGAAATTTTTTGGAATCAGGGGTCCCCCATTCCTGTGGCGCTCCAGCCCTTGGCAGCAGCCGTAACAAAAGCGCTTTCTCTTATGGTTGCTCAAGGTGACCACAACTGTGCCGCTCTCACCTGGACTTTGGCTCTCCCCATTGAACTTCATAGGAAAGTCAGAAGCCTGTGGCTCCGTCCTAGGTCTGTGACCATTGGCCTGACTTAACACACAATTTGCTGGTAAGTCAGCAACTGCCTTCAAGAGATTTTTCTCTCCGCAGTATTCATGGTCAGAATTCTTTGCTGATGACAGCAACTTCTCTGCTTGAAGTTTCAGGAGTGTCCTTGAGGAGGAAACGAAGTGTTTAGTGTCTTTTCTCTTCACTTTAGAGGACAAAGTACTAAGATTCTGAGCAGCCACACTGGACTTTGCCTTAGCAATAAGGGGTTCATCCTGGTTCCACGTTTTCTGGTTTTGAAGGGCCCTCTTTCTGCACTGGAAATGCCTCAACTGCCTGCTCCAAGTAACTGGCCTTCCCAACTTAGCTTTCAGAATGCACAAGTGTTGGTGAAAGTAGAACTTCTTAAAGCCTCCAAACCCAGTATTCCATTTCTCAGAAAAGGCTAAGTGGATTCTTTTCCTCCATAGACTTTTCTTCTGTTTTTTCATTTTTCTGATGCATAATGAGACCTGGAAGCAGCTGGAAAGAAGAGAAAGAAAAGTTACATTTCTACCCTAAAAATAAGGTCACATTATTCACCACAGTATGAGTTAGAAAATTGGAAAAAAGCACATGAAGTCCAATTTACACTATCAGACCTAGTGAAATTCCACCTGATCAAGATTTCCTCACAATGAAAATTAAAGAGGGAAGACATGAGTATTCCAACATGACCCCATTTACTGTACCTGCCTCTGACAGAAGTAAGTTTCAAGAATCATTTTCCAATATGCAGCCAGTTTCTGATGTCGTAGACAGGGCACGGATCAGGAGAGAATTTTTAAGTGCTGGCCTTGCTTCTCAATAGCTAAGTGACTTTAAGCAAGGCACTGAAATTCTGTGTTCTCATTTGTAAAATGAAAGAGAAAGGACAGGGGACTAGACACCATTTAAGACTGAGTCCATATGAAAACAATTTGTTCCATACAGCAAATTTTAGAAAGGGTGGGCAAGTACTTTTGCTCTGTCTAGTCATCCACAGGCAGAAATTCAATACATTCATGCAATATCAGTATCTCAAGAAGGAATTCCTCCCTAACCTCTTTCCCCACTCAGCTCCCAGAAAGGTTTATACCCCTAAGGGGAAGATCAGTCCTGGGAGTAGGGACAGATAATTCAAAGAGAAAAGACCAACAGATACTGATATTAGGGGATGCCTCAATTAAATAGGCCATAATAATTACTCCCAAATTTAAGAAGCAATCAGACCCCAAACCTCTCTTTAACTCTACACAGCAGTTAATTAATTGTCCCTCCCCTACCCAAGATTGGAAAGTTCTCCTTTAGAAAGAATAAAACGGAAGTTCTGCAGACAGGGGGGTCCCAAGCACAGTTTGAAGATGGAATAATATATTGAATACAAGACCCCTAACACCTTCCCACTCATCTCCTCAAACCCTGGCAATCTGTCTTACCCATCCAAGTAGGAGCTTGGAAGATTCTTCCCTAAGAATCTGATTCGTCCACAAAAAAAGACAGATATCCCCCCCCAAAATGGCCCAGCATGACCCACAGTTAACAAGTCACACCACATGCTCAGAATTTTCAAGCAACTTCTTAGTGGTCATCCTTTAAAATGACTGGATAACTAAGAATCACTAGATTTCTAAAGGTAAAAAGTAGACTAAAACAGATTAAAGCAAAAGCTTATTTAGAGAAGTCAATTTTAAAATACTGAAGAGGGGAGAGAAGGAAAGTTATTGTTTAATGAGTAGAGCTTCAGTTTAGGAAGATAAAAAAGGATCTGGAAGATGGATGGTGGTGATGGTTGCACAACAATGTGATTATATTTAATGCCACTGAACTTTATACCTAAAAATGATTAAAATGGTAAATTTTATGTTATGTATATTTTACCACAATGAAACAAAAGAGGGAAGAAAAAAAAAACTAACACTATCCTCTAAGAAGAAAATATTACATCCATTGGGTGGAAAAAAATAGGATGTTATTTTTTTTAAATGAACAATAAAAAATTATAAGGGGGCCTTGGAAATTAAAAATAGCAAAAATGAAAAATTCAATAGAAAGTAAAGGGCTAATATCTCTAATATTTAATATCTTAAATTAAGGGATAAAGAATAAAAAGGCTGGTGGAAAAATGGAGAAAAGACATAAGAAGATAATTCACAAATAAAGATTTTTAAATAGCCCTTAAACATAAGAAAAGATGTTCAATCTCACTCATTAAAAAACTGTCAAGGGGGCTTGAGGGGGTGGATAGAATGGGTGAAGGGGGTCAAAAGGTACAAACTTCCATAAATAAGTCAGTTGTGGGATGTAAATGTGCAGCATGGTGACTATCATTAACAGCACTCTATTGTATATTTAGAAGATGCTAAGAATGTAAATCTTAAAAGTCCTCATCACACACACAAAAATAAAAACTATTAGAGGAAACTAGAACTATGTAGGGTGATGGATTTAACTAGACTTACTGTGGTAATCATTTCTCAATTGTACAAATATTAAATCATTATGTTGTACACCTGGAACTAATATAATATGTCAATTTTACCTCAGTAAAAAAAAAAATCGGCAAAAATTATGCAACACATTCTGTTGGTGGGAGAAAAGAACTTTCATTCTTTGCTGGTGGAAACATAAATTGATAAAATCATTTCAAGGAAATATGTCAATATTTAACAAAACTATAGAAGTATTAATCCAGCAACTCAACTTTTAGAAATTTACCTTGAAGATATGCTTTCAGTAATAATGAAAATACATAGTACAAGGTTATTCACTGCAACACTGTTTGTAATCACAAAACACTGGAAACAACATAAATGCCCATACATAGGATAGTGGTTACATAAACTATGGTTCATCTGCACAATGAATGAAGCTACAAAAGCATAAGGATGTGGTCTATGAATTAAAATGGAGTGATTCCCAGATTAAGTGAAAAACACAAAGTTCAAGTGAGTATCAATGGTATGGTATAATTCAGCCAAGCATACAGTTGGAACAGTCCACCCAAGATCACTCTCACCTCTGACAACAACTGCAAGGTCGAGGAGTTTCCAAAATCAACCTTAGGTTTGATAATTTGTCAGAAAGACTCACAGAACTCACTGAAAGCTATTAAATTAATAGCTAAGGTTTATTATAGCTTAAGAATATGGATTAAAATCAGGCAAGTGAAGAAGTACACAATGCAGAGTCCAGAAGAGGTAATAAATGAGGTGCTTCCTGCTGTCCTGTCCCCATGGAGCCAAGACAGATTACTCTCCCAACACCAATGTGTGACAATTCGTGACAAGGACTGCCAGCCAAGGAAGCTCACCTGAGCTTCGACGTCCAGAGGTTTTATTGGGGCTTATAGGCCTAACTGATGGACCACATGACTGAGCTCAGTCTTCAGCCCCTCTGGAGATCCACTGATACCAAAGTCATCACCCTAAATCATGCTGTTGTTTTTTCTGGTGTGGCCAACCCTCATCCTAAGTCATACTGTTAGATTGAGGGTGACTCAAGGCTCCCAGGCAAATAAAGATACCCCAATCAGGCATGACATTCCAAGTGTTTAGAGGTCACCTCCTAAAAGCCAAGGATAAAGGCTTTCTTTTGAGACAAGGTTAAATTCTTTACTGTAGCCATATTTCATAAAATAAAAAAATAAGAAAATACACATTTTCTGCCTCTTTGTGCACCCCACAAAATAAACTCATAATAGAAAAATCAAAACACAGGAAGAATAAACCAGAAACTAATGAGAATAGTTACCTAGGGCATGTAGGGAATGGGGTGAAAAGGATGAGGAATAGGAAAATGGTAGAAGGGATGAGAGGGGAATGGCACTTCTCAGAAGATGCTTTTGTAAAATTCTGACTTTTATGGCCTATGTCAATGCTTCATATACTTTAAAAATATACAAATAATTAAAATGAAATACAAACAGTAACAGATGAACATGACTATATTACAAAGAACATAATTGCAACTTTGGAAAACATTATTTTGACTGAGTAAGACTAGAAACAAAAGGACTGTATACAAATACTGTTCTTTAGTTAGCAAATTTATTTTTCACAGAGGAATGAGTTAATTCTGAAACTACTCTGTAAATTATCCAAAATTGAGCAAATAAGTAAATACGCTATAGATAATTAGAGCTAGATTTCACACTGTTGGTGAAAGGAATTACACATAATGAAAAAGACAGTGAGATAGCTTTAAATCTGTAGTGACAGAATGAAATTGGGGGTATCCATATGAACTCATCGTGTGTTTTATACACACACACAAAGACAGATCTAGAGATGCACATACACGAGACATTTACTTCCTAGCTCTGTCTGCTTAGAGGGCCTTGAAGTAATCACATCCCAGTAGCAATGAGCACCACTAGCACTTAGATCTTGGTTTCTAAATACTACTTAAAAGAAATAGCTGATTCCAGAGATGGAGCAGAAGTAGAAGGTGGAGCCTAAAACATCAGTGTAGTGCCAAAAAGTAGAAAAGTGCTCAAAAAAAAAAAGACACGTCAAAAGGACACAGGAGCCAACCTGAAGGGACTCACAACAGCCAAAAAACCTGAGCAACTGAATATATAATGATAGTAATGGATTATAACTCAAGAATAAAATATCCTGAGTCTATAGTGATATAAACAACTGATTAAATAAATAAATGGGAGAAGGGACAGCTCTTTCTTATAGAGAATTTCAAATTAATAAATACAGAAGGAATGATGGAAATAGAAAGTTACAATTTGCAACTCCTCTCAGAAATGACTCTGGCAAGAATCATCAATGGATGCTAAAATTAGAGGGTAAAAGTATAATAAGAAACAAGGTATTTAATAGTCTCAAAGTATCTCCCACAAGATACTTCAGATTACAAAGGGAAAAATTGTGCTTTTCAATGGAAAAACCCAGCACACATCACCTTAATCAGGTGACTGAGGTTACTATCACTAGTAATGAGACATGTGGACGTTGTATGCTTCCTGATGTGGCACCATCACTTATGTGGGATTCTTGTTAAAAACAACCTGAATTTAATCCTAAGGAAACAACAGACAGACCCACATTGAGGGACACTTCATAGGATAACTGGCTAATACTCTTCAAAAGTGTCAAGGTCATAAAAGATAAAACAGACTGAGGAACTGTCCCAGATTAGAAGACTAAGAAGACAAACATGTAAGCCTGGATTGGGTTTTAGTCCAGGAAAAGGAAACTGGTGGGACAATGACAAAATCTGAATAAGGTTTTTAGATCAGTTAATAGTATTATCTTAATTTCCCAGTTTTGATAATATACTATAGTTACATAATGTAACATTGGGGAAAAGTTGGGTGAAGTTTTTAAAAATTATAAATCTGCAGTTATTTCAAAGTACAAAGTTAAAATTTTTCTTAAACATTTAAAAATTTTAGGAAATCTCCCAGAAAGTACCACAAAATGACAGATTGGAAAATCGTGAAGTAAGATAAGAAAATTAAAGGATCAGGTCAGGATATCAAATATCCA